TTTTTTTTTTTTTTTTTTTTTCCAGTGTAGGTTAAAAGGCGGAGCGTGATTGGTCCGCTATGTCTTATCGCTGCTTTGTCGTGCCTTTGTCAGGTGGAATGGATGACATACTGTCGGTAACATAAGAGTTGCCGTTAGCTTGTCGTGAGTTCAACCCGACATAGGCACGACAAAGCAGCGATAAGACATAGCCGCGACCAATCACGCTCCGTCTTTTAACCTATGTCATCTATGCTGTCCCGACAAACAAAAAATTTCAACAATCAGGCTCCTGGATGCAACTATTCGAGCTCTACGGATGTCCGTGTTGCATACGCACGGAAAAGAAGGCGTTTTGATTATGCAGGCACTCACCACTTCGCCCGCGGCGTGCAGCAGCAATGAGTTGCACTGCAAGAATCCAAAATGACAGACTAGGTCTTCAATCCTTCATCTTTACTACAAAGACATCCGCCGCGCATGAGTAGCTGCACACATGCTTAGGATGTGAGTATCTTTAGTCCCTCAGTTTTGATGTAACGAATTTCTGAGCATGATTTTAAGAGCAACTTTTCATGTCTAACAGATATCTTCATAGTATAAACGAAGACTGGAGGACGCTCTGTCATTTCGAATACTCGCAAGCAACCTGTTGCACCACGCATGAAGTCGGAAGCTGAGGCGGTGAGTGCCTGGTGACCAAAACGCCTTCACTTTCGTGGGTATGCAACACGGACATCCGCAGAGCCCGAATAGTTGTATCCAGGCGTTATCATGAAATTCGTTTAGTGTTTGACCCATTTGACATTAACTGAGGGTGCCTCGCCTGTCACCCTCACCTCAACCCAATTTCAGCGTCGCCTGTTGTGCCAATGAAGTAAACTAATGTTGATAATTATCGCGATATTGTCAATTTTCCAAAATTAGAATTGATAGATCAAATGTATTACAACGATACCGGTCTTTGAAGTCGCAAAAAAGGTATATGAGCAAAATTTGTAGATTTTCCTTTAATCTATATTATCGAGTCATCCTTTGTTTGGATTTTCATCCCTTTTTGAGAGATACTTACTTTTGACGTTTAAATACGAAATTTTCAAATAACAATCCTAGGGATGGGGCCTAAAGTCCCTCACATAAAATAGGTATTAGTTATAAGGCGTTAACAAAAATCATGTATTTGTGTCCTCTTAAGTTTTCCCTCATTCAGGGATTCGTCTAAATTGAGGTGAAACTCGGCTCTCTTCGTTTGATTGCGCTATTCTATCGTGCTAAGGAAGAACGCCGCAAGAACATTCGAAAGTTGCCAAATTTCACCGGATAAAATATGTATTTTTGAGAAAAGTTATGCATATTTGGACGTATTTCTACCAAACAGACCTATGTGGCGGTGAGAAATATGGGGTATGCTCCAGAAATCTGCATAAGAAGCAATGTAAAAGTGGGCGTGGTTCCTTTTGAAGAATTGGAAAAGCGGGATATTGCATTCTATCAAAGAGACCTATGTGCCAACTGAACGCGGGAGTCATGAGCCGCGGGCATGGCAAGAGAGCCTTGTGGACAGGGCTCATGAGTTAAAGAACGTTCCCGCCTTCGTGAGGATACCCGTCGTCACCGCTGACGTCACTGGCGCTTTATTATTCTCATTAACTCTTACGCAAGAAAACTAACGAGCACACCCCATATTTCTCACTTCCACATAGGTCTGTTTGGTAGAACTACGTCCATTTCTCCTTGAGATTTTCAGACATTTCATATACAATTGCGAATAAAATTATGTGAAAAATCTAGGGATATATGAATAATTTTCCCAGTAAATTCATTTCTTACTGAAGAAAATAGGTATTCCATCGTCTAAAAGCTCATACGGCGTTCTTCCTTAGCACGGCAGTATCGGATCAAGAAATTTTTATTTCTGGGCATTCATCATTTCCACATA